AATAATACTTCAAATGTAGTGAGGCTGCATATATGTATGACTTTGTAATAAAGACACTTGACAGATGCCATGGATCATACAGTAGCTCTCCTCTAATTCTTTGAGGTAAGCTAAAACTGACCAAATAAATCCTGCACTCAATTTTAATCCAAGTGCAGAGGTGAAACTGGCTGGAATCATACCATAGGTGTGTGAATAGGAGATCATCAAAGATTAAATTATAGGGCAGATAAAGGAGGATACATTGAGGGAGGATGGTATATATATGTCAGGGACAAACCTTGCAGAGCCCCTGGTACAAATATTCCTCCCCACAAATTAGATTTCCTCATCCTGTCAACATATTTTGTTATTGTTCTTTTCTTAGCCCATCACAATCATTATCTTTTGGCAAATATGTTACCATTACCTGTGTATACAGAATATTTTGATCCTAACAAACTGTACAGACCCAGATTTGTTGATGCATACTATGCTGGAAGGTATGTGTCTACATACTTTGCAGTTGGACTTGACTTATAAGCAAATATATACATGTATGAAAATTTGTGTCATATCTGAGTGTTACAAAATGTGCAATGAAGACAAAAAAAATTAAGGATATCAAAGTTGGATTCCATATTAACATTTATTCCTATGGTGTACTCATTTAGAAAGTATCTACTGGCAGCCCAAAGAAAAATAGATTAACTTGTCAACAACTGTCTGGCTCTGGCAGGCAAGAAAATGTATTCATCAAATCTGTGATGAAATGAGGAGGACTGGCATAGAAATTAACTGTTTTTTTTCTGTAATGATATATAAATCATGTCATAAAAAGTTGTTATGTTAGTTACATATAACTGCAAAATGTGCCATATAAAAGCATACCTAACCAACACATGCTGTCAAAGCAAATAAAATGAATTATCATCACAAGTTGTAAGAGCAAATAAAATTAATTATCAAATAAAAGTTGCAACAGCAAATATCAACACTAGCTGTAAGGATAAATAAAATGAATAATCAACACAAGCTGTAAAAAGGGCAAATAAAATAAATTATCAAAGCAAATAAAATAAATTATTAACACAAGCTGTAGTTATGAATATTTAATTTAATTGTTTGTCTATTAGTTTAAAAATTTTCTTATTCAATTACATGTTATTAAAGTGCAACATTGTTTGCTGGACTAAAATTTGTCCAAAATTGAGTTCATTTCTGTTTGAACTGATTGACCTTTATATTTTTAAAATTTCTGTTATGTAAGCAGCTAATAATAGCTTCATTATTCTCTATGTGTTTGAGCTTATTATCAGGATTATTATTCAGGTTGATCAGGGCCAGAGTTTTGGGATATCTGCAGTGTGGCAGTTTATAGTGATGTCTAGCACTGGGGCATAATGCTACGGACATGTAGCATGATGTCCCACCCAGACACATTATCCTGACACCAGGCTGACCGATCCTAACACTAACCTCTTAATGCTGAGCCTTAAGTGAGGCAACTGTTACTACCATTTTTGTAAGTCTTTGGTATGACTCATCAGGGTTTTGGAGATTCCCAAGTGAATTTTACAGGCTATTGTGTTGTAAATATACAAGACTGAGATCATTCTAGAAGGCTATTTTCCATTTGATAATGGTTGCTTTTAGAAAATGCCAATTGTGACCCTGAGGTCAAGCAGGGAACTATATTATTTTGTGACTGTGAAGTTTTTACTAGTCATGCCTTAACATCAGGTACTGAAAGTTGGATTATGTTGTGACAAGTTTGGGCTGAATTTTATTTTCTTCAAAGTGTTGAATTCAAGTGATTATTTTCAATGGAAATACAAAAGTGTTCTGACAAAATGTTTGGATAAAAACTTTCATTGGAATTTATACTGAATTCAAACCTGGAATAATATTTCTGTGATTCAAAATGAGACTGTTGACACATCAGTACTTTGCGGATCATAAACTGACACATCACCACCTTCAATTTTGGTTTGGTTCTCTTCATGACTTGAACTGAGTTTTATTCAGGACTTTTTATTACTAGGACTTGTGTCTTTAATTCTTGGATTATTTCTGTACTGTAAGTTCTTCATTCTCATTTTGTCCTTTTGTATTCTAGGGAAATAAATTATTTGTTAAATTTTAATTGTTGTCTTCAGTCTTTTCTGTTTCTTATGTATAAGAGCATGGACTTGTAACACTCTAAAATGGGCATATAAAATGAATTATCAAGAGCAAAACAGATTAATTACCAAAACAAGCTGTAAAAAGGGCAAATAAAATTAATTATTAACACAAGCTGTAAAAAGGGCCAATAAAATAAATTATCAAGGGCAAATAAAATAAAATGAATTATCAACAAAAACTGAAAAAAATGGGAAATAAAATGAACTATCAGGGGCAAATAAAATGAATTATCAAGAGCAAATACAATGAATTATCTACACAAGCTTCATGGGCAAATTAAATGAATTAACAATACAAACTGTAAAGGCAAATAAAATGAATTCACAGATACACTACTGTGTGCAGAAAAGTCTTTTTTTTGCTAAATACTGTACATCATACCTCATAGCATACCTAGAAAAAAAACTGTTTTTCCTGGTCTATAAATATTTATTACTGTTGGGTTTCTTCATTTCCACACATACACAGAGTTAATGTATTGGTGTCATGCTGGTGTCTAAAGGCTTATTACTGTAGGGTTTCTTTCATCCATGCATGTACTAAACTAATATGCTGGTGTCTACATATTTATTAATGCAGGGTTTCTTCATTTACCTTAATTTCATTTGTTTGCATTTGCTGATATTTAGATCAGGGAATTAGAAAATTTTAAATAACCTTTTTGAAAGTCTAGTATATTCAAGGAATTCACATTAATTTCTCAAACTCAGATGAAAAATCAATAAATATCATGCATCACTGTTTAAGGAACTAAAATTATATATTTATTTAAAACTGATATATTTAGAAAATTTTCATTTTATATTTTTTTAAGAACACAGAAGATTATAATCTCATATCATTTTATACACACAGTTATTTGAATAAACTTTAATTGATTTAATCCAGAATGAAATGTCATATATTTAGTTTTTATTCTGATTAACCCTGACAAGCAAATCTGTCATCTCAGCATTATTTAGACCCAAACTTAAATTTATGATCCACCTCTGAAGTGATATAAATCATGCCAAACAGATATATTTGTTAAATCAGTGTTATGCTTCAGCAAGTCTTTAACTCATTTCTTTTCCCTGGGTTTGTATGTTGTACCTCATCCCAAATAAATTTTGTACATTTATTTATGTACAAATTTAGTTCAACTGCAAACTGCATTGATCCAGAGCTGCCAATGTATAATGTGCCAGCAGATCTGCATTTAAGAAGTTTGTTAGGAGTAACCTGCAGAATCAACACTGACCCTTATCTGTCAGACTACATCATGTGATGGCTGACTAGGATCTATGATGTTTGAAGTTGGAATCAACTTATAAGTATATAAATCTTTCAGAATACTCTTTGTGAAAAAGTGGAGATAAAGAAGTACTACCAATATATATGCGCTGGCAGATCTCGATCTGTGCAGTGTGTTAGAAGCATTCAGTAGAACAAACAACATAGACTCTGATCTGCAGGTGCATTATGCTATGGCATATCTGGATCTTTGTTGTTTGCAGTTTTACTCAACTTGTATGTGAGTAAATATGATATGAAAATAAAAAAAATTACAAAAAAAACCTGTGCCAAAAAGGAACATTTTTTAACAAACATAAAATAGTATAAATTTTATGTAAGTTACTGAAGAAAAATAAAACTGATGTGTCATTATAAACTTCAACAAAAGAATGTTATTATTCAAATACTAGCTGTCCCTTTAGTCCAGGTTACTTCTATTCAAGATTGTAAACACTCAGTTCCACATCAAAATGCCCATTTTTGAATTCACTGTGCTACTGCTATTTATGCAGTAAGTAATCCATTTTCCACATAAATTGATTTTAAAAAAAGGGAAAGTGTGTGTGTGATTTGGATTTTTAATGTAGCTATAACAATTTTTCTGTCATATTGCTAAGATGTCTGCAGTGTGGCAGTTTATAGTGATGTTAAGCAATAGGCATCAGAAGTCTTGCTAGGATTTTAAAACTAGGAGTCTAGGACTCCTAATATGGTAAAAATAGGAGTCCCACCAGCAAAAGTTGCAGCCCAACTAAGCCAGAAATCACATACATGCACTTTCTTACACATGGCTATGGTCCATCCGAACTATTAGTTATAGCAACTTTAGCACAGTTCTGAATCTCATTGAAATCTTCATCATTTTTCCGTTTAACTACAAAACACTTGTCTAAATTTTGCAAACTGCATTTTGTCCACATCTCTAGATTTTGAGTTCACATGCAATATTTATATGGCAACATTCGAAAATGAAATCAATAACAGTGATTGCTCTGGGCTTTGCCAATGTTGCAAATTGCAATTATGTTTTATATATTGGCAACAAAATATACCTTCTGGCCATATTTTTGGCTACAAGATTTTTGGGTGATAAAAATGGTATATAAAGTCTTGAGTTTGGAGTGGAGAAATTCAAAGGCACCATGATAGGAAGCAGCAAACTTGGATATAAAAATGCACTGAAATCAATTGTTACCTAAATAAATCCTTATTTCATATTGACAAACCACTCTAACAGTTAACTGTTATGTCATAATCTGCTTATGCTGATCTCTGGCCTTGATACCTATGCTGTAATATAATCAAACTAGCCAAGCAACTGACTAGCTACAGTAGAGAGGGTGAAAGGTGAAATGACTACAGTAGACCACACAACAGTAATTTAAAAAAAAGAACAGAAAAAATAGTTATAAAACTGATTACCTCTGAAGCACTGATATATACTAAAGAATTTTTTTTAAAAAAATTGTGTCAATGTTCTACATTTTATTTGATGTTGCCGCAAATGCTCAGCACTAAGTAAGGCAACTGATAATACCATTTTGTATAGGTCTATGGTATGATTTGGCTGGGGTTCAAACCCATGACCTCCAACATCCAAGGTGGACACTCTAACCACATAGGCCACTAGAGCAGTAAATTAAAGGGACAATAGTGCCACTATGAATAAAGAATTGAAAAAAAAAGGGTGTCTGAAAAAAGAATGAAAAAACAGGTGAAATAGGAAAAACTAGAGCCAGTGGAACTACAGCAATGTTATGGCATTGAAAGAATACATGATAAAGATGCATGAATATGCAAGTACTTGCTTTTTTATGGGTATAAAATATGATTCATCTTAAAAACCAGTTTTCAATTTTACAATCCCAAAAATTTTTAAATAATAAAAAGCTTTTCAGCTTCAGCTTTCATAAAAATTATATTAATTAAATTATTATCATATTATGTATTATTGACTGTAATGAGTTGTATATGAGAACAGTTAGGCTACAGTTTTGAAAAAAAAAAACCTATTGCAGATTCGAGGATGTAGAACAGGCCTGATGTACCATACTGCTTGTCATGAAAGGCAAGTAGCAAAGGCAATGTTTTTCTGAGATACATCCTGCGAGCTTAAGACCTCAATGCTGCTGTTACGTGCAAAAAGTCATATATGCCATATCATCTGAATAATACTCTATCTTGAAAGATATTGGTCCTAAACATCATTGGGTTCCATTAAAACCAGATAATATTGAGATTTCATTATATTATGAACCATGTAATATTTCAATCAAACTGAAATATCTTGCCATTTTCCACTAGTGAAAGAATTAATCCAATATTTATCAGCGACATCAACCAATTTCAGTTGAAGCTGGCATACAAGATTTGATGATGTTGCCATTGTAAACATTAGAAGCTAACACAACTCAAAGTAGGGTTGTCTTCAGCCCATGTTAGTCCTTCAATGTATATTCCAGTTCCCCAACTGATTCATAATATTCACCAGAAAAAAGTGGGCCTACATCTCTTCATTCCCTCTTGAATAGTTGTTGTTGTTGTTGTTGTTGTTGTTGTGGGGCTTAATGCCATTTTGCAAGACACGATAGGCTATAAATGGTGGCCAGTATTAATGGTAGAGGAAGAAACCAGGAAATCCTTAAAAAGAACCAGACTCACGAGAAACTACTGGCAAGCTTTCTCACAATCCACATTTGCCGAATCCTAGACTCAAACCCACAATGCTGACTCAAACCCACATTCCTAGACTCAAACCCATGCAGACAGAGGTGAGATGGCAGTGATCCATAACGGACAGTGCTTTAGACCACTCAGACCACCTCCCCTCTTGAATAATCTGTGCTCCACATGCAAACTTTGTTATTAGATTAATTACTAACAGAATTTGTAAAATGTATCACATCACCATCTTTGGAGCACCCCAGAAAAAGATCGGAATTACGAGCAACTTCATGGACTAAATGGGCACATCTTAATACTAAACTGAATATCTGAACATCATTTAAACCTAAAATCTTGATTTCAAATAACAGTTTATGACAGATTGCTGTTTTAACAAATCATTTCCTTCTTTCCAAACTTTTGTTGGATTAGTGTATGGTGTAATAATTGATAAATGGCAGTATTGTGAATCACTGTATCTAGATATTTTCCTAATTCATTCCTGAGTTTTGCCCGAAGTGGGTGTAGGAAATACATTTCTGGAGTTATTTCTGACTGCATCCAAAAGCACCTGTTTCTGTGAGATTTTCATTCAGCTGGATGCTGTAGAGTACAAAAGACATGATTTTTGATTGGCTATTTCACCTATGCATGTACCAAAGAGTGAAAGTTGGACATCCTTTTAGGTGACCAATTTTGCTTATTAGACCAATGATTTTCCTTAGCCATTTTTCTTCTGCTGTAACATCATTGTCCTTCTCTATGATACCACCCACTAATAAATGATATGGATGTTACAGAGCTTTGTTGTAGGGTACTACTTCATGATAAATAAATGTAGTATGCATGAACAATGAGTTAAACAGGAAATAACTACTGTGGGCATTGGCCCAATGTATCCTACTGCAAAGGGTACTTACATAATTCTTTTCAGGGAGGAGGAAGAAAGTGGTAAGTTTAATGTATGTAGGACAAATCATTTTCATAAGAAAACTGAGGTAGGCACTAAGGATAAAATTGCTAGCAATTTTTTTCCAGTGATCAGGAATTTGTTTTAGTACATTGAAAGACTAAATAAGAGGACCAAGTATTTTTTGAAATATATCACCTTGTGAATGCAAATTCATACATATAATGAAAATGAAAACAGGAAAAAAGTAGACATATCCCTACATTAATATTTAATGTTACTGTAACTCAATAACAGCTATACTGTGCCAATTAAAAAAAGTTAAAAAAATATGAGGCCCTCTAAGTGAATGATCATCCACTGACTGAAAAGAATTATCAGGAATTTAAGATTTGTTATTAAGTTGTTGTTGTTATGGGGTTTATTGCCATTTATCACCCAAAGATAGGCTGTACATGGTCGCCAGTATAACTGGTGGAGGAAGAACCCAGAAAATCCCCTGGAAAGAACCACCAACCCATAGAAAGTTACTGGCAAGCTTTCTCAGGAATTTAAGATAAGACCATTTCTTCTTTTTTAACTGCTGAGTGCTGATATATGATCTTCTTCAGTGAAAGCAAGATTTTCAAATTGCCTTTTGTGGATGCTGGAATGGCATCATTTTTATTAAGGACCAACATTACACCATTCCAAACCCGACATCAAAGGAAGACTTATGATATGATTTTCCACTCTGAAGAAGTACTTGTAAAAATTTTCAAGATGTCTTTTATGGTTCGCTATTTTGGAAATGAGACTGGCCCCACTTCCACTCAGGGCCATATGTACATCATAAACAGTATTGTTGGTGAAGCACAACATCAATATGACCTGACATCTAGATGAAGTAACGATTACAAAATTTTCACGATGGCTATTATGCTGGCCAAATTGGAACTCATATCAGCACCATTTTCATTTACAACATCATAACAAGTAAAAACCCCATGCTGATGTAAGAGTAGCAGTATCAACATTCTACAGATGGACAATAGGACCAACTAGATATCATAATAAGTCTCTTATGAAAATCCCATGTAGATATGACCATTCATTGAGGAAGAGTAGCAAATAATAAAATTTTAAAGAGAAAGTCACTGTGGAGGCAATATTGAAAACCCAACCAGTTATCATTTTCATTAAGACCAACTAGACCAGGTGTGGTAATTACAACTTATGCTAATGGGTAGATGATGGTTAAAAGAGCATAATAAGCTAAATGATTTAAGTGACAACCAAACTGGGCATGTCAGTCAAAGAAATCATAGTCTATGCAAACAATAATACCTTTACCTTTAAATTCAGACTGTGGGGGTAGAATTAGTGTTCTTCCTTGTATTGCTTTTTCTGGGATCTTCATCAGCATCTGCTTTTGGAGTTCCTTGTGATCCAAGGGATGGATACAGTCAAATACACTCATCCCCAACAAGCTGACCTGCAGCAGATAAAAACACAACATATTCATCAGTTAATTATATTCCCTAAGAATTGCAGAAACACTGGTATCTACCATTACATGATCATTGGCAAACGTGGGCCCATTAACTTAACTGACATATTATAGTAATCCACTTATGCAAAATCAATGGTTACTTATCAGTCTGAAATGATGTGATCATTATATTATGATGTCACTTTTTATCAATATTTTATAACAATTTCAACTCTGGGAAAGATTAGATATTAAATGATGCACATGAGAGTTCCGCACACAAAAAATGAGTGCAATCTTAGCATGGTATGAGTAATCTATATACTACATGAGATAATTACAGATAACTATGTGGAGAAAAAGGTACATTTATTTTTTATACTTTAACTGGATCTAAAGTTAGTTAAGATTCTTACAATGTTGATGACAAGTATGCAATACCATTGGAAATCTTAAGCAATTTACAACCTGCCATAAACTGGTCTAACAGGTTTTCTGTTGTAGAAAACTGAGGTAATGTCAACAACTGGAATCAGGCCACAATTAATATTTCTGGTTCAATACCCAGGAATGTAGTTCCAGTCTAATTTTATATCTTTTTTTTAATTGCCATTTGGTGGTGATACAAGAGTTAGATTTGGGCATTCTTGGTAAGGATCTAAAGGTGCACAGTGAGTAATAAGGTCATGGTGATGATTCGGAAATGAAATCTGTGTTCCATTGTATGGTGTTTTGTTTACTATTCAGCCTCTCAAAAAAATGCAGGTCAACCCTTCAAAAGAACTTTACCATACTGTCATCTTTAAAGGTATTTTAGATTAAGATATGATTTGTATTGACTGTCACTTGGAGAACCTGGTCTCTCATGACAAGTGGTCCCTCATAGCAGTGGTCTTTCAAGACAGGTTTTACTGTAATGCATCTGAAGTACATGTGTATAAAAAATAAATGAACACAAACATCTGATTTTGTGATTGTTGCACAAATCATGACCTTTGACTACATCTCTTTTCAACACTGCTGTTATTGTCAACAAAATGCAAATTTTACACTTTGGAGGAAAACTTAGTAGTGCCTAACATAAATTTTGATTTGAGTTACCTGCATACATAACACCCAATGCAATTAGTTATCATATACTAAATTAATCAGATGCTCTTCATTTATTTGTCTTATTAATACTGTATAATGATTTTGTAAAATCAATGCTTCCTTCACTGCTGGAAATGACATGATCATAAATGTGATATCACAGATATGACTTTATTACCATGGCAATATGATCATGGCAGATACTGGAAGTAAAATATTTCATAATGCACACCCAGATCAAAGTCAGTGACAATCACTTGATATGATACAAACAAACAGTAGAGTCCTTGCTATACAATAGGGAATCTGGGTCTACAATGTTTACTGATGGGCATGTCTTGTATGAGAACTAAATTAGACTGGTTCTGCTTAATATCAGATCAGAAAGATACAGTGAATTAAACAACAGGGAACAGATCTTTTCTTGATTACCCACTGCAGTATTATAGTTGTATGTAATTGAGATGACTAGTAGCAGTCTAATGAGACCATGATC